GTCAGAAAAATAATTAATAATAAGGCAACACAAAGGAAAAAAATTATTCTAAGAGATTAATATGAAATTATCAAGGATTCCTGGCCACTAAATTCAAGAACTTGAAGTTTAGTCAGCATAACCCCAAGGTACATGATCTTCTCGATACCTCCTATTTCTTCAATGTGTGGCAAATATTTGCCCATTTAATGATGAAAGTCTAAACAGAATATAAACAGATATAAGAACTTGTCTTCCTCAAAATAAAAACATCACAGAAGAAAACACTGTGCACAGAAGATGACGCAGAGTGGCATTCGATACCTGACTCTGGTGTTAGGCTACTCAGTGCTGTGTGCTCTGTTACAATGGGGAAATGGTTAACATTCTAGAACATTTACCCAGATCTTTCCCTCAGTTGGACAGAGTGAGGGTGGGCAGAAGAGCTCTTATGAGACAGACATAATCATGTGATTCTAAGAAAGCCCGCCTCCTAAGTAAGTCCTTGCTCTTCTGACACTGAAGACTAAGACAGGCCCCTCATGGTGCATCCTCACAAGAGTTTGCACTTCTGGAGAGTGAAAAAGAAATAGAGATGAAAGATGGCCATGTCTACCAGCCGTGTCTACCAGAGGTAATTACCCTGCAGCAAAGGGCTTGTCTAGCAGGGAATCGGAACCCATCTACTAATGACCAAAAGTTCTATCCGGAATCAAAAGCAACTATGAAAGTCGGCCATGGTGACAATCATCCATCAATATCCTGGATGGACTAGAGCTAGTCTCTTACTCCTCCATCCCTGCAAAGGAGGCCAGGATGGAGTGACTGCGCCACCATGCCTAATGTTTGAAACTCCGCTTTGGAGATGGCTTTGTAAAATAGATCTATTTGCTGAAAGACTCTCCAGGAGTAATTGTTCAATCAGATGACTTTACCATGGTGTGAAAGTGATACACATTTAATAGACAATATATTTAAATTTTGTATTCAGCCTTTTTCTGGGCTAGCAACATGCCATAGCAAACCAAATCACAGCCTCCTGTCAGCAACAGGATCATGAGGGAATCTGACTGTGTGCTGCGTTGCTAAGCTATGACATTTGGGGTAAGTGCATGAAATGCATTTTCAGCTTATGACATTTTCAGTTTACAACAAGTTTATGTAAATGTAGCCCTACTGTAAGTTTGGGAGCATCTGTACTGTAAAATGTCCTTTTGAACAAATTAATCCATAGCTGGGCACAGTGGCAGATGCCTGTAATCCCAGTGACTTCCGAGGCTGAGGCAGAAGATCGCAAGTGCCAGATCAGCCTCAGTGACTTAGGGAGGCCTTGAGCAACTTAGAGAGATCCTATCTCAAAAGGAAAAATAAAAAGGGATAGGGGTGTGACTCAATGGTTAAGCACCCCTGGGTTCAATCCCCAGTATTCAAAGAAAGAAATAAAGACATTAGTTCATATTAATTATACAGAATAGTGGGTTTCATTGTGGCATATTCATATGTGGGGGGGGGGACCATGGGAAGAATAGACAACTTTAGATAGGGCAGAGGGGACAGAGGGACAGAGGGGAAGAGAGGGGGCTCGGGGGTAGAAAAGACGGTGGCATGAGATGGACATCATTACCCTAAGTATATGTATGAAGACACGAATGGTGTGACTGTACTTTATATATAACCAGAGATATGAAAAATTGTGCCCTATTTGTGTAATATGAACTGTAATGCATTCTGCTGTCATATGTAACAAATAAGAATAAATAAAATAAAATACAATTTTATCAATATGATTGAATCCAGAGCCTCAGGAATACTAAGCACTTGCTCTACAACTGAACTACACCCCCAGCACCGAATGTTCTCTTTTGGAGGATCCAGTGGGAAATGTTTGTGTCTCTTTTGGGGCTTACACTGAGTAGTTGGTGAACTGTACCTTTCAACCCTGTAAAGAATGACCCATTGGTCATAGAAAATTCTTCATAACCAATGTTGTCAACTAACTCTAGGCAAATGCCTAAGGTTGTTTGACAGGTATATTAGGATCAAATGGCATCTGCAGCTGACTTTCTCTTGGCTTCTTTTAAATCCCCCATGAAAATAATTCCATCCTGCTAAACTGTGTATATCTTTGAATTCTCATTTAAACGACTTCTGGGGTGTGATAGGAATTTTACAATACAAATCTTCTCCAGATACAATTACTCTGAAGCTACATTTTTAAAGATGGTAACTGCATTTCTAGATATTTGTCTTAGACTAAAAGGGCATCACACAAATCCTAGTTTGTTTTACACTTTCATGTTTCACTAATTACAAAGTTTAAAGACACAAGATGTAGCTCCGTGGTTAAAGCCCTTCTCTAGCATGTGTGAGATCATGGGTTCAATCCCCTGTAGCAGAAACACACACACACACACACACACACACAAACTAAAGACACAATGTTATTTAAAAAATTTACCAGCTTTTATATTTCTTCCAATGTTTGACATCACAAGTAATGTCACAGCAGATACCTTTGTACATGAAGCGTAGTTCATGTTTCTAATAATTTCCTTAAGATGGAGACTAACTGGGAATCACTGGATCAGGGTACCATTGGTTTTACAAGGTGTTTTTGACAGCTTTCTGTTACTAGAAGAAATACTTGAGATAAATAAACTTATATAGAGAAAAAAGGGTTTTTGGCTCATAGTTACAGAGGTTTCAGTCCATGACTGATTGTCCCCTTTGCTTCGGTCCTGTAGTAAGGCAGTACATCATGTGGAAAGTGTGTGGTGGAGTCACACCACTCACACCTTATGCCAGGGAGTGAAAGAGAGAAAAGGAAGGATGTGGAGTCCTGCAATCCCATTCAGGGGCACACCCCCATTAACCAGAATACCTCGGCTGGACTCCACCTCTTAAACTTTCCACTGCTTCTCAGCAGGGTCACCCTAGGCATCCAGCTTTTATCACTTGCACCTTTAGAAGACATTCAAGATCCAAATTAGAGCACAAGTCCTGACAGGCGTGGCCCAGTGCTGAAGCCAGAGGCCGTGCCCCAAGTGCCCCGTGATGGGGTGGGGCACTGGGACATCACTTCATGTGATTTCTATTTTTAACAGGTTCGTGTTGCCCTCTCATCATTTTGGCTAAGTCAGTAACATGCAGTATCACCCCCTAGCTCTAGCTTCACCACATTAAAATTCATAGCACCTTGAAGAGGAACTATTTCCAATTCCCAAATGTTGTATATGACTGAAAAAGAAAACTCATTATCAACTTTGCAGCTCATTAGCAGAATTCTCTGCATCAACAACCCCTCATTACTGCCGACAAGTGGCTCCCGTTCTCACCTCTCACTGACTCCTTTCTAGTTCTAGGCATGACATTCTGAATAGAGTACTAAGAAATCTATCCTACATCTAATAGTGCCACATTCTTCCAATTGTCAAATATGAGCTCAGACCTGAGCTCAAATTCTCATCCCGTCACTAGCTGTGTGACCCTAGGATAATTCTGAGCCTCTCTTTCTCTGAGTGTTAAAGGTCATGGTGTCATCTGGCTGGCAGGGTTCCTGCAGGGCCGGCACACGGTGCTCAGTAAGAAGCCCCTCTCCCACCTCTTCCCCTTCTAATCGGTGGCCCTACCTCCCACCACCAGATTCAGGCAGTGATACACCACCGATGGTAGCCTCCCAGTGTATTCCAGAAATACAATCGCTCATTTCATGCTGCGTTGTTTAGGCTTTGTACCTGACCCCCGTGACTGGGTGATGAGAACTAAGGACAACAATCCAATGGGGACTGTTGTATCCTACAAAAAACACACAGGCACCCCCACAATGATCACACTGAGTGAATCCCTCAACCCAGCACCCTGTGTAGACCCAGCAGACTCCTCTGCCACCACACCGGGTTCTGCTCACAGGCTGAGATCGCACTCTCCATACCCTCTCTTTTCCTCGGGAAGGTGACCAAGCCCTTATTCTCAATTTTGGCAACATTTCTTAGTTTTTCAATACACTTTGCTTCATGGAGAAGGAACTGTCCAAGGGCAATGATGCCCACAACCCACACATCCATCAATGGGAAGAACATGCACAAGATCATTATAAGGAAAAGCAAGGTACAAGAAAAAAGAATGAAATGCATGGGTTGTGTCTCAAGACTGTTCATGGGAGTTCCTTATGGGGTGATGACGAGAAGGAGAAAGTTCTGTTGTCAATCAGGTTTGCATGTCAAAGTGTTACTCAGAAAATACATGAGAAAATACAGCCTCCAAAGATGACAAGAGCAATATGAGTTTCCACTATGATTACTTATTTTACATATGAAGTTTAAGAGATTGTAGCAAGAGACAGGGAATTCCATAAACCCACATCTATCCGTGTGCTTTATTTATTTATTTATTTATTTTTCACTTGGCTTTGGTGGCTTTTTTTACATTAAAAAAAAAAATTCTGAAGCTGACTTAAGCCCACCATGAAAGCTTTGAGAAACTAGAAAGGAGCCTCTCTTGATGGTCAATTTATTGATTTACTGAAGGAGAATGAATAATGCAGGGGAAAAGATGACTAATGAACATTTGAAACCAGAAATACTGAAATTTAACCTCAGCCGTGCAATGTAATCAAAGTTTATGAGAAATGGACTTTTAAAACTTGAAAAGGTTGCATGACTACAACATAAAAAAGGATTCTTTAAAGGTTTCAATGAAATTTTTATAAAATAAATTTTCCCTATCTTATATTATCTGGGTCACTAATTCCAAAGATGCTCTTGAACTAGAATAATTTAAAAAAAAAAAAGTACAAATAACTAATGGCTCTGAACCCACAGGCGCTAAAGCAAAGAACTGTCATGAGCTGTGGCATGGGAAGGGCAAGAGTATGAAACACTGAAACGCACCACGCAGGCTGCAGTCCCTGAAACCCATCCTCAGATGGATTGGACCCCAGGACCTTGAGACTGGCCGGGTGACCTCGTCCCTGCACTGAACCCTGGCTGGGCCAGCTTCCCCCATCCCATGCCCTCGCTCACCGCATGGTGTAGAGCAGAGTGCCATCGTCCTCCAGGCGCAGCAGCTTGTTGGGCGTGGTCATGTTGTGCGCGATGGACTTCTTCCCGTTGTGGAAGAACGTGTCTGGGGTCCAGATTTTGCTGGCAAGGAGGTTGTTGAGAGGGAGGCGCTGCATGGGCCCCTTGAACCGAAGCCTTTCGTCTTTCCAGCTTTGCCGAAAAAACACATCTATAGTGTATTCCTAATGCAAAAACGAGGGGACATCTGAGTCCAAGAGGGCAGCGGCGGAGTTCTTGGGGGGTCTATTTAGAATGATCTAGGAGGGGCCAGGCCCCGTGACCTACCATTTCGGTGTCGGACACAGGACCGAAGCTGGTGACGTAGATGTCAGTCCGCACCTGAGTGATTCGCTCTGAAACAGAGACACAGGTTGCTCCGCGCACGGACTCACCCTGCACCTCCGTCACACTGTGTTTGGGCATTTACGATGTGTTTGGTAAACCTAGAGGGCTGGTCAGAATACCTAGTGGAACTAAGCCGCTCCAAACTATAACGCAAATAAAATGTCCATCACATAAAGAAAGCCCAGCTTGGCTGTCATTGTACTTCTGCCCTCCTGGGCTGTCTTTCTGCATAAGAGACCTGCTGAGTCTCCCAGTGGGAGCTGGGTAGTAGCATAAACACCTGAGCTTCAGCTTCTTCCCCCATAAACCTGGAGTAAGAATGCTAACCTGCAGTGCATAAACAGTGCTTTTGAAAGAGTTGGACAATTCAGGATGGGGGAAGCCGATTCAGGGGTAGCTCCAGTTAAGGAAAAAAAAATGGAGCCACCATGTAGTCTCCAGGGAAAAGAGGAATGAGAAAATGCTCTGGGTGTGCTCTCAGACAAGGACAGCTCTCAGAAGGGAAGACCCACTTCTCCATGGATGGCATTTCAATGGTTAGAAATTTCTATCATGGGAGACTACTGTATCAGCTAAAATTATTGGAAAATATGATAAAGTGATACAAGTGGTTAATAATATTGGGGAAATTTTTGTGTGTTCTCTGGGCACCACTGAGGCCCAGTAACCCCTGTAGTACAGACCACATTCAGAATGTGCTTCATCCGGTGTTGGGTGTTAAAGGACCCCAGACTTCCTGATGATATCCCCATGGGCTCAGATCTTTTCTCTCCCAGCATCTCCTTGCAGTGGACATCTACTTTTATGATGTGTATTTGTACATACACAGGTGTTTGGTGCTTTGTGGTTCTGGTGCCCATCTCCCCACTGAAACATAAGCCCCACTGCACCCTGAGATTCAGGGTAGTCCATTAAGCCCTCCTGTGTATCCTCAGGGCCCCCAACCTGCAGAGTTGTAAGGCAGGCTGCAAGAACGGAGGACAACTCAGCAGATCTCTCTGTGCCTTGACCTCACTGAATATGTCCAAAAGGGACAGGAGTGCTGAACACTGGGGCCTGGGAATGCCATTCAGAGGGCAGACCAGACATTGTCAAGGAGTCTTTTCCTTCCTGAAAAGTCGGAGAATGGCAATTCATGCTTTAAGTGAATCTCCCTTTAAAAATGCAAATATCAGAGAATTAAACCTTTTCCTCCAGAATGTGTTTGCCAGAGGGTGTCTACTTCACCTAATGAAGCAAGTTCAAATGCACTACATCTAAATTGGTTATAGCCAAACGCATTAAACATGCCTGGAAACTGCACACTATCTTCACCATAAAATTAGCTGTGCCAGTTGTGCCCTGGAAGAACAATCCATTATCAAGTTTTGTTTTGTTTTTTTATCGGTTTCTCTCAAAGCACAGTCGTCCTTCCCTTATCTGTGCTTTAACTTTCTGAAGTTTCAGCTACCCAGTGTGAGCTGAGATTCAAAAATAAATCTGAATCTGAGCTGGGGTTGTGGCTCAGTGGTAGAGCACTTGCCTAGCACATGTGAGGCACTGGGTTCCATTCCACATATAAATAAATGAATACAATAAAGGTCCATCAACAAATAAAAAAATATTAAATGGGAAATTCTAGAAATAAGTAATTTGCTCTAAAATAACTTTTACTGCAGTCTATTGTTATAATACTCATATATTGTTATAATAGTCTTGTTATAATACATTATTGTTGTTAATCTCTTATAATGCCTAACTTATAAATTAAACTTTATAATGGGTATGTATATACAGAAAAAAATCATAGTATATATAGGGTTTTGTAGAACCTACAATTGCAGGCGACTACTGGGAGTCTTGGAACATACTCCCATGAATAAGGGGAGACTATTATAAATATTATAATTATGGCCAAAGTCAAAATTAAATTTACACCCCGTAAAGATGCAAAGAACAATACTGGACAGTGGATTCAACACTTAAGAACTGCTTCTTGAGATAAGCCAATCCCAAAATGTTTTCTCTAATATTCGGATGCTAATTCCCAATAAGGTGGAGGCACTAAAGAAGAATAGTGTTACCTTAGATTAGGTAGAGGGAAGTGATGGGAGGGGAGAGAAGGGGATGTGAGGATAGGAAAGATAGTAGAATTAAACAGACATTATTACTTTATGTATATACGTGACTACATGACCAATGTGATTCTGCAACATGTACACTGAGAAAAATGAGAAATTATATCCCATCTATTTATATCAAAGTGCATAAATGCATTCTACTGTCATGTATAACTAATTAAAACAAATTAAAAAATTTTTAAAAAATAACTGCTTCCTCACTAAGTGAATAGGACTTCTGGGAAGAAGAGTTTGCAGGGACATTTTAGGGAGACCCCTTCCCCAGCTCTTTGCATCTGGGAAACAATAATAAAGGATACAGGGTCCTTGGCAAGGAGGGAGCAACCATCTCAGGACATCCAGATGTGATGGTTCTTTCAGGGGTTGTTTGACTCACAGTAACCCAAGCTGCAGACTATAGTTAGGTTTTTCCTGGGGCCTGGCCGGCCTCCTCCAAGAACAGCATACTTACCTCCGAGCCCAGGCCGCAGTCTGTTGTCATAGCCATCCAAGAGCCCATCCAGGATCCTTGTAAATATTGTGATGTTGTCATTGGTCTCATCTTTTCCAGAACTGGTTGGCATTTGTGAAAAGCTTTATGAAAGAGAAACAAAAGAAAAGGTTAAAACTTGTATTGTTTCTTACAAATTCTTCACAAGATAGAGAAATCCAGGTATCCTATGGCAATTTTTCTTAAAGGGGGACATTGGGGAGAGGGAGCTTCCATACCACCTCGTTACTATTTTGCTGTCATAAGCCTTAGTTCCTGAATATCCTAAGTTCTGTTTTGGACTGAATGTGCATCACCTAGCATGACAATCAAAATCGACCATTCTTGATTCTGAGGAGCTGTTTATTACCAATGTTTTAGCTATTTAAAAAAACAAGTTAGGCACTGCACATGGACTAGCAGGATTTACTCCACTGATAGGGGATTTCATAAATTTGGTTTAAACACAGAAAATCAGGGTTCAATATCACTAGTAAGCCTTCTGCAATGAGCACTGGGGTGAGGAGGGGGATAGTGAAAAACTTTCACCCAGGTTGAAAGATAAGGCTGGTCTTTCTGAGTCTTTAGTTGAATTGGGAGCATTTTGTGCTGTGAATAATACACCAGAATTCAAGTATTTAGTGACACAAGTGATTGAGTCTGTGATACATCTTTGGGCTTCTGCAGCCTTCAGTGCTGCCAGCTCATGGCACTTTCTGTGTGTGCCCACACATCAAGAGCCAAAAAAAAAAAAAAAAAAAAAAAACCTAGAAGAGCAGACTGAACCTTCAAGGATGATACCAGAGGATCATTCTGAGTTTGTTCAATGGAGTGAAGTTATCCAGGCTCAAAAAGCTTATGTAGATGGAACAGATGGAAACCAGAATGATCTGCTTAGATGCAATCAATGAAAATGAGCAATTTTCAAGAACCGGATAGGACAGACACATATAGATTCTGACCTCAGTGTCTGCCCTTGAGCAGATATGGACAAGCTAAGGAAGTTATTTTGGGGGAAAAAAGGTCTACCATCCCAAAAGACAGTAACATGACTAAAGAACATGCTTTCCACCTCTGGTTCCTGTAGATGCTTTGAGATGTGCCAACAGCACTTGACTTACACATTGGGCTTGGCTGCAAGAGCTCAAAGGACTCTCTGAGCTGAAAGCCAGATGTGACTCCCAGAAGTAAGCCCTCTTGGCAACGGGGGAAAGAATGCCCTATTCCTGGTACTTCCCTTAAATGCTCAGCTGTGGGGCCTCAGCTGTACTTCATAATCATTGAAATTAGAGCCAAGAGCCACCATCCCTCTGTGGAGGGACACTGAAGTCAAAATCAATGTTTGCTTGCCCCACCCTGTTTTTGAAAATTGGTCATTTTCATTGATTGCATTTATACAGATCAATTCTTTACTGACCCTAAAGCTTTTCCTTTTTGAATGACACAGTAGAAAGATCCCTTGATTTAATTTTTACATTGCCATTAAAACACATATAGAAGTTCTAGCAAGCTAAAATTCAGTCCTGTTAGTAAAGAGCCCACAGATATTTTACTCAGTGATTCAGTATTTAAAAATATTAAATTACCCTTTTTTTCTAGCATCCATGGTAATTTCACACTTTAGAGAGACAAAAAACTAAGCCACACAAAGCTAATGCCAGAATGAAAAGTCTTGACATCATCTTGGGCTGTGTATGAATGAATGTTATATTTGGTCCTGGCTCAGTTAACTAACTGTGTAATGATTGGTCAAACAGATCTGGTCTCAGGGTCCACTTCTCATGGCGTTCAAATTCTTAACAGTCCAATTATTCAATTTTAGGCTATATCCAAGTGCCTAGTATTTAGAAGGTACTTGCTGCCTCTTTAACATACAAATATACACCAGTAAAAAGAAAATCAAATTCTTTCTGTATTCATGGATTCATTTTCTGCTGTTTTAGTTATCTGAGGTCAACCGCTGGCAAAAATAGTAAATGGAAAATTCCAGAAATAGACAAATCATAAGTTTTCAATTATGTGTCATTCTGAGTAGCTTGATGCAATGTCATGTCAACCCACCCAGTATCTGAACCATCACTTTGTCCAGTGTATCCTGCTGTATATAATATCTGCCCATTAATCTTAATAATGGCCCCAAAGTCCTAGAGAAGAGATGTTGGCAATTTAATTGCTGTATAGTATTATAATTGTCCTATTTTTTATTAGTTATTATTTTTATCTCATATTGTGCCTAATTCATAAATTAAACTTTTAAGTATGTAGATATAGGGAAAAAAACATCATACATATAGGATTTGATATTATCCTCAGTTTCAGGCATCTGCTGGAGTTTTGTCATGTATTTCCTGCATTTAGGGGAGAAGTACTACATCTTAATGTTTCAAGGAAATTTTTCTAAGCTATTCCATTATCCGTTGTGAAATGTTCTTAAATTACATTAGATCTGAATAGCCCTGGCTGTTAAGAGACAAAGACTTGCCTACATTATTGACCATTCTGAGGCTAGATCTGTAGAGATGTCTTTTGAGTGCCACTCTCCTTGGCTTTGTCCAAGAGGAAGGACAAACGTTTACTGGTCCACTAGTTTCAGGGAATCACCGTTCCACCCTGAATTTCACTTCACAAATACCCAAATCATGTCTGATAGCAACAGGATAGGATTAAGAATTCCAAAGCTCAGCTTTCACTTACTGGTCAAAACAAGAACAAAACAAAAAAACAGAGTTTAAATATGCACATAATTATACTTTTTCTTGGAGAAAGAGCTATCCTTAACCCTGTCTTGCCATAATCACTCCTTGTATTTATCTGTGGGCCTGCATATGTTAGAAGCCAGGGCTGAGGACCTGCAGGGTTTTTCCTTCACTGTATTAACTAAAGATAGGTGCTGAAGTAAGGAACAGATTATTCCAAAACTCCCTGAAAATGCCTCCTAGGATAGGAGCAATATCATTTTATTGTTTGTTTGCTTTTTGTTTTTTCCATGAACAACTGGGAAGCTCTCCACATCTATAGATTAACCTCAAAACTGATTCAGCCACAGAATATGGTTAAGAAATTCACCACGTTGACAGCCCTGAAGAGAAAGACTCTTGCTTGATCACTGAACACAAATGCTGTGTTTTCTTAGCCCCCGGTACTGTTGTCCCTTCAGGAAAAGCTCACAGATGTCCGGGGAACTTGCTGGTGCTTCTACCAAGCTGCACAACCTTTAAGAGCTTCCTCTAGGATTAAGAGTAACCTCAGCTTGCTTTGTTCCATTTGGGTTCAGGGAAAGTACTTGAAAAACAAAATAACACAGACATCCTGCGCTCTGCTATCAGTGAGTAACACCGAACACAGCAGTGTGTAATGAGTGAGTCCTCCCACATTCCCCCTTCCCACTGAACACTCACTCCAGTTACGGTCCAAGGGCAGGCTTGGTCCACTGGCATTCCCATTCAGCTTTTGTTAGCCATACTGAATACAACCCAGGAGCTCTGCTCACCTTTGGGCCCACCCTGAGTGTATTCCTGCCTCAAGGAGAAGCTAAAGGCTCTGCTCTTTGGGGAGAGGATTTTTGTAAGATATTATTTACTTAATGGTCTTCAACATAAAAGGAATACTTGAAAATTTGGGTGACTCACACTTGATTTTAATGAGAGTTAATTAGTTAGGTTCTCTTGAAATATGAACTATTTCCTTATATTTGCATATACTCTTCAAAACTGTCATATTTACTCCATGTTTTCAGTTCTAATATTTTCAGATTATTGATCTTTCAGAAAAGAATAGTGTCATATCTTGGTACCCATGGGGGACTGGTTCCTGGACTCCTTTTATGGAAACCCAAATCCATAGATGTTCAAGACCTTTATATAAAATGGTGCTATATTTGCATATAACCTGTGCATCTCATCCTATGCACTTTAAATCATTTCTAATTTAAGTATAACACCTAATATAATGAAAATGCTATCTAAATAGTTATGTTGTATTATTTAGGAAGTAAAGATGAAGGAAAAGTCTGGATATGATCAGTACAGGTTCAAGTTTTTCACCAGTATTTTCAATCTGAGATTAGTTGAATTCACAGATGCAGAATCCATGGATATGAAGGGTCCACCATGAAAAACCCATCCATCCTGTTAAAAAAAAAAATTCCCATTTTTTTTTTACATTTCTTTGTGTAAGTATTACTAGTCTATACAAAAGATACAAGGAATGGGTTCCTAAACTTTCTGGTGATTTGAAATGAGGACTAGAGATGTAGCTCAGTGGTAGATTACTTGCCAAGCTTGCCTTAGATCCTGGCTCAATCCCCAAAACTACCAGAAAAAAAGAAAAATGGAACAGCAGGAGGAGGTGAATGAGGTGATGGTGTTGGAGGAGGAGGAAAAAGAGGAGAAGAAGATGGAGAAGATATAGAAATGAGGTCAATGGCCTCATATTGTAGCCTGAGAAAGGTACTGGTTGCAGGATCAGCAGGGACAGGACTAAGGTGCTGAAGAGCCATGGAAATCCCCGGGGTTTCTTAAAAGGCTATGCCATGGCACCCAGCCTAATGTGAACTTCTGGGTCATTTATAGATTTTTGATGAAGTGGAGTGGGGAGCTGGTATCCATGAAATTTGATCCACTAATGGGTTTATTTCACCAGCAAAGTGCTTAAGAAAAATAAATTGTTCAGGAAGGGTAAACCTTTGCCAACTTCTCACCTCTCCCTGTTGTCCCATACCTGGCCTTTTTGAAATTTTGATTTTGAGACTCTTGCATTAGCTTCTTCCTGACTTCTTGGCTCTGGAAACTTAGTTTTAATTGATCCAGGAGAAAACAGGCATCAGTAACTTTTAATCCCTCTCCCTGCCACCACCCTTGTGACCCTCCTGTGCAGCCAAGGTGGAAAGTGAGTGCTCTGGGGCTAAGCTAGAAACAGAAAACTGCCATGTGAACCAACTGACAACATGACTCCAATGGCCTCCCAGATTCTCTCTCCTCCATTACATCTTCAGAGAGGCCCTGATTGGGCTTGGTACTTATTCCAGCTCTATGACTACTGAATCCACCACGTGCCAGGTGTTGTGGAGAGAACCAGGGACCCAAAAATGACCTACAGGGCCTGA